AGCAAGAGAACCTATACCATCTCAGACAAGTGACTGTCTAGCCCAGTGGTTCTCAACCTTTGTAATGCCGCGACCCCATAATACAGTTCCCCATGTTGTGGTGACCCCCCAACCAGGGGCGTGGCCAAGTGGGTGTGGCCACCAAGTGGGCGTGGCCACCAAGTGGGTGTGGCCACCATGTTGTGGTGACCCCCAACCATAAAATTATTTTCATTGCTATTTCATAACTGTAATTTTGCTACATTATGAATCGCGATGTAAATATCTGATATGCAGTATGTATTTTCATTGTTACAAATTGAACATAATTAAAGCATAGTGATTATGCTTTCCTCTCTTCCTCTCTTTCCTCTCCCTCTCTTTCTCCCCTCTCTTTCTTTCTCTTTCCTCTTTCTTTCCTCTCCCTCTCTCTTTCTCACTCTTTCTCTTTCCTCTCCCTCTTTCTCTCTTCCCTTTCTCTTTCCTCTCTTTCTCTCTTTCCTCTCTCTCATTCTCTTTCCTCTCCCTCTCTTTCTCTCTTCCCTCTTTCTCTTTCGTCTCTTTCTCTTTCTATCTTTCCTCTCCCTCTCAACCTTTCTTTCCTCTCCCTCGCTCTTTCTCTCTCCTCTCCTTCTCTCCTCTTTCTTTTTCTGCTCCCTCTTTCTCTCTTCCCTCTTTCTTTCCTCTCTTTCTCTTTATCTCTTTCCTCTCTTTCTCTTTCCTTTCCCTCTCTTTCTCTCTTCCCTCTTTCTCTTTCCTCTCTTTCTCTTTCTATCTTTCCTCTCTCTCTTTCTTTCCTCTCCCTCTCTTTCTTTCCTCTCCCTTTCTCTTTCCTCTCTCTCTTTCCTCTCTCTCTTTCTCTTTCCTTTCCCCTCTCCCTCTCTCCTCTTCCTCTCTTTCCTCTCCCTCTCTCTTTCTCTTTCCTCTTTCCTCTCCCCCTCTCTTTCCTCTCTCCCTCTCTCTTTCCTTCTCTCTTTCTCTTTCTTTCTCTCTTTCCTCTCTCTCTTTCCTCTCTTTCTCTCTTTCCTCTCTTCTCATTCTCTCTCCTCTCTCTCTCTCTTTCCCTCTCTCCACTTTTTCTCTTTCCTCTCTCCCTCTTTCTCTCTTTCCTCTTTCTTTTCCTCTGTTTCTCTCTTTTTCTCTCTCTTACGGCAGTATCGTCGGGGGTCCCCGCTGCCCCCGGCCTCTGCGTGTCCTCAGCCGAATGGGCGGGGAGGGGGAGCAGGATGGGAGGCAGCGGTTCTGGCGGCGGCGGCCTGGCAGCATCATTGGGGTTCCTCGCCGCCGCCCCCGGCCCGGCCGGCGCCCCGCCAAATCCTCAGCCGAACGGGCAGGGAGCAGGATGGGAGGCAGCGGCAGTAGCACGGCAGCATCATTGGGGTTTCTTGCCGCCACCCCCGGCCCGGCCACCGCGTCCTCAGTCAAAGGGGTGGGGAGGGGGAGCAGGACGGGAGGCAGCGGCTCCGGTGGCAGTGGCGGCGACACGGCAGCATCGTGGGGTTCCTCGCCGCCGGCCCCGGCCTGGCCGCCACCCCGCCAAATCCTCAGACGAACGGGCGGGGAGTAGGACAGGAGGCAGCGGCAGCAGCATGGCAGCATCGTTGGGGTTCCTCGCCGCCGGGCCCAGCCCGGCCACTGCGTCCTCAGCCAAAGGGGCGGGGAGGGGGAGCAGGACGGGTGGCAGTGGCTCCGGTGGCAGCGGCAGCGACACGGCAGCATCGTGGAGTTCCTCGCCGCCAGCCCTGGCCCGGCCGCCGCGTCCTCAGCCAAAGGGGCGAGGAGGGGGAGCAGGACGGAAGGCAGCAGCTCCGGTGGCAGCGGCAGCAGCAGGGCAGCATCATCGGGGTCCCTGCCGCCCCCGGCCCAGCCGCCGCCCCCGCTGGGACTCCGCGCTGCCCGGCCTCACTCTCCGCCCATCGATGGAGCCGCGGTGGAGGCAGCACCCGCCTGAGCCGCCTGGGGGGCAGCAGGAGGAAGGAGAGGAGGAGGGCGAGGAAGCAGTCGCCCTAGCCGGGACTCCGCGCTGCCCGGCCTCGCCCTCTGCCCATCCGATGGAGCTGCGGTGGGGGCTGGTGCCGCGCGGCCCCTGCCAGCCCCTCTGCCAGCCCGGCTGCCCCCCCCCAGGCACCCCTCTTGCCCCGGCATCCGCGTGAGCTGCTTTGGAGGAAGAGGAGGGCAAGGAAGCCGCCGCCAGCACCAGGCCCCAGGAGGCAGCTCTCCTCTCCTACCTTTGCTGAATCTCATTCTTCCTTCCCAGCAGCCTGGACTCCAGCACGCCTTCCTGGCCAGCGGGTCCAATGGTCGGGCTGGCTGGGGATTGCAGGGGCTAGTCTCCCTTGGGCCGTGGCTTTCGGGAGGGCTGGCCCGCTCAGCAGAGCCTCCAGCGGGCTTCTCCCAGCAGGGATCCCGGGGCTTCCCTGGGCGGCTCCAAGGCCATGAGGCCGTGGCTGCGCTTCTCCCAGGGGGTGGGGCACCCGGGCGCAGGGCCAATCAGGAGCCCTGCAGGAGGTAAGTCCACCTGAGAGAGAGAGAGAGAAGGGAAGCGAAAGTGCCTCTCTGTCTCTCTCTCTGCAAATGGCGGAGGAGGCCGTGCGGAGACAGATGCGGAGCGGTGTCTCGGTTCCTAATACCATCGGAAATATGTGTTTTCCGATGGTCTTAGGTGACCCCTGTGAAACGGTCGTTCGACCCCAAAAGGGGTCGCGACCCACAGGTTGAGAACCGCTGCATTAATCAGAATATATAAAGCTAAGGTTACTCCTATGCTTTTGTATGGAGCAGAGGTTTGGGGTATATACCCAATTACAACACTAGAACAAATGCAGTCCTAGCACCTGAGATGTATTTTGGGCGTAGATCCAAGAACATCTGCTGCAGCAGTTAGAGCTGAACTGGGAATTCATAACAATTCATGCTCTATCCAAAATTAGAACATATAATTACTGGCATAAAATTAATGAAATGGAGAGTGATAGACTCCCCAAGTTATGCCTACTAGAGCAGATAAAATTACAATCACAAACTTCCTGGTTCACTAAATTGACAAATTTTGTAAGAAGCTGTGGCCTTCCTGTCTCTTGCGTAACAGGGGAACAATCTAAAAAAAGAGCTGCCCAAAGAATTAAGGATGCTGAAGCACAAAACGACATAGCCATAAGGTGGATAACTTGAAATGGCTGAGCAAATACAAACACACTTTTCAAGCAGACAGCTATTTGAAGTTACAACTGCCCAAACATCTTAGGCAAATATTCACACGAGTGAGATTTGAACAGTTTGACACAATGGCCAGATATGGGAGATTCCACTCTATACCCTATAATGAACATCTCTGCATCTGCAGAGCAGCAGCGGTTGAGGATCTGGCTCACATCCCATTTCACTGCTGCCTGTATAAGAGGGTGACAGACAGGTACCTTGGCCTATACATTAAACAAATGACCCATTGGGACCCCCATGTCAAAATAACTTACCTTATGTGTGGCCAGAATTTGAAAATTACATTGAACATAACACAGTAGCTGAGCAAAATGGTTCGGCTGAGATTGGCATATGTGAGACTGATTGGGGTAGATTGTAGGGGTGATTAAAGTAGGGTATCTGCTAAGACTTAGGAAAGAGAGTGCTTTGCCAAATTATAGTTTATATGAAGCTGGATTCATTTTGGAAGCTAGAACAATTTATCAGTGGAACGACTTGCCCTCAGAAGTTGTGGGTGCTCCAACACGGGAGGTTTTTAAGAAGAGATTGGACACCATTTATTTGAAATGGTATCGGGTTTCCTGCCTGAGCAGGGGGTTGGACTAGAAGACCTCCAAGGTCCTTTCCAACTCTGTTATTCTTCTGTCAAAGAGCCCTGGTGGCGCAGTGGTTAGAATGCAGTACTGTGGGCTAATTCTGCTGAGTGCCAATTGTCAGCAATTCGGCAGTTCGATCGTGACTGGCTCAACGTTGACTCAGCCTTCTATCCTTCTGGGGTCAGTAAAATGAGGACCCAGATTGTTGGGGGTCATATGCTGATGTTTGCAAACTGCTCAGAGAGGGCTGTAAAACATTGTGAAGTGGTATATAAGTCTTCTATTGCTTTTGTGGGAAGGGGAAGTAAACCAGCAAGATAATGGATGTGGGGATACCAGAGGATGGTAGAATAGAAGGCAAAGAATTGGAGAAGATCACAAAGTATCAAGATATGGAAACTGAAGTTGAAAGATTATGGCATAAACCAGCAGTGGTGATTCCAGTGGTTATCAGCATAGCGGGTGCCATACCCCAAAATCCTGCACATTGACAAAATTTCCATTGGCCAATTACAAAAGGTCACACTGCACATGTACTATGTTGATACATTACAACATCCTTGGTTCTTGGGAAGAATCCGGTATTTATGTAGACCAACACAAGCTGAAGAATTGGCACTATAACTTCACATTGTTGTGGTATATAATAATAGGTGGATAAAATAAATAAATAAATTCAATAAATAAATAAAAATGCCAAATCCAGTCTGAACATCTGGTTGTCTATGTGAAGAACCATATAAATGGAATTTATATACTGCCCTACTCACAGTGACTCTGAATTCAGAATGGGCACCCAGACAGGGTTCTTGTATTAAATGCAATTCTGATAAGTAAAAATCATATGAGAATATTAAAAACAAATTAGAACCTTTTTTGCAAAATTGAACTGATGAAACAGCAAAGGATCTGCAGAGTTTTTTGCTTTATTTATGAAAAGTTACCAGATTTAGTAGCAAAAGTTACGGTCACAGTGTAAGTTCTCTGAATGAAATTTGTGCCATGAAAAGAGATCAGGTAGAGTGATCCCAAAGGATCCAGTCTCCTCAGAGCCAGAGGAATATGGAGAAGGAAGCTTGGGGGGAATCTCCCTGGTGGATTGAAGCAATATCTTTTCAGACCAAAGTTCTGAGCCTCTGTTTCATCCCCTCTTTTGGCCACGTCAGCATGAAGGGCTTCTGCACCATCAGCACTGTCGAAACAACACAACTGTTAATGGGAGGCTCAGCCTTTCACACCTGATGTCACCATGGCTTTGTGTTCCTTCTCAAAGCCGTCCATCTTGGCTGAAGAGGTGGACACGTTCTGATCCAGAGATATCCTTCTGACTAGTAGCACAAAGATTAGGCCGTCTTTCTTGGGAGGGAGGCTGTCTGCTTTCACAGTATAGAAACAGCATGTTTCTAGTCCTCTGTTGCCACAAAGTTCTATTCTTTGGGAAGGATCCTGGTGCACTTTAAGGCTCTTCATTTTCCTTCCCCAGCAATCTTTCGCTCTAATCCAGTCTCATCTCTGGGGATTTGGGAAACTCACATCTTCAGCCATATAAGAAATGGCAGAAGGCAAAAGAGTGGGGTTTCCTTCGTTACAGCTAAAATTCTGATTGGTGAGCACATAGTCCCAATCCAGAACAAGACCCTCTGAATTAGGGCTATCCGCTGGGTATGGTAAAAATATTCAAGATGGCGACCATGTTGGCGTGATCAATTCTCTGCCCATGTTTTTATGGGTGTTGCATATGTGATGCACTTAAAAACCAGGTGGAGCTTTGAGTGCACCATTGTGGTTGCCATCTTGAATTTTTGACTATCCCCCCCCCGCCCCCCAGACAATAAATAAAACAAGTTTTAGGAGGAGATATTAGTAAAAGAAAAACACAGAAGGAAGGTGTGCTGATGGAGGCAACCTTGAAGTGCTTGGTTCTCAGTTTGCTTTATCAAAATTGCCATGGCAACTTAATTGCTGTTTTTTTATTGCGACAAAAGCTCTTTCTTGAGGATTGTAATGGTAGAAGGGTGGAGAAGTAACTTGAGCTTTGCTAATTATGAATATTGATGCTTACATTACCTATTGTCCATGCGTATGTATGACCGTATCATTTTCTCCTCTTTTCCTGAAATGTATAAATATGATTGCATCCTTTTGTCCGCAGCAGTCCTTCCCATTGTTTTCTCAAGGGAATTCCTCCAGGGCACACTGAGTAAATAAGTTCTGCAGTGACCTTTGATTATTGGTTTTTGGGGTCCAGCATTTGATTCCGCAACACCCTGTTCCTGTGGCTTCTTCGCGTTTCCAAAAGCACCACCAAATTTAAGTATCGCATCGTAATTGCTATCATTTTGAGGCTGAAATCATTGCTCTAGAGCAGGGGTAGGCAACATGCATAGCTGGCTCAGGAATTCTGGGAGTTGAAGTCCATGAGTCATAAAAGAGCCAAGGTTGCCTACCCCTGCTTTAGACACACCAAGTGGTTGAAAAATCTCAGCTTTGCCCCAAGAATTATAGAGTGCTGCTTCTTTTACCTCCTTCTCCTGCCACTGAGAGTTTCCTAAAAATAATTAGGTGCGTTCCCAGACCTTCTTGCATGAAAGGGATTTCCATCCCTGTTGAGGCCTGTGAAGCTTCCCAGACTGATTTATTTTAGCTGCAAATGGGTGTTCAAATGGGGTTTCTTTTAGGCAAAGCTTAGAGAAATCCTCCCTCTTCTTCTACCCAATATTTATCTTCACTGTTTTTGTCTGCAAGTTATTTTCTTTCAAAATAATGACTTGTTAAAACCAGTATTTCTCAACTTTGGCCACTTTAAGATACGTGGACGTCTCCATGCTGGCTGGAGAAATTCTGAGAGTTGAAGTCCATGTATCGCAAAGTGGCCAGGCTTGAGAAGCACGGCATTCATCACTCGGGTTGGGCTCCAACTTCAGACAGTGAAGGTATCAACACGGACACCAAGGCTTTTGGGCTGCAGTTTTTTCCACCACTCATGGAAAGCAGCAACCTAAAGTGATGTCCACTCATATAATGCTGATGTGGTAAGTTCTTGTCAGAAAGCACGCAATGTGGATGTTCCAAAGGCCTGGACAGTAGATGACCCAACTACAAAACGGTTACTAAATCAGAGTGAGGCTGTTTCATTCCATATTCAAGTCTCCTCCTCACTGCCTGTTGTGATCAGATTGACAACAGAGGTGTCTGTCTGGGCAGAGTTCCTGTGAGACGACTCCCTTGTCTGCCGAGTGGGGGCCTCTTGCTTGCAGCAATAATTGCCACCCCAGGTGAGTCTCAACTCGGCCGATATGGACTGCAAAGGCTGATTGCTGGAGGCAGGCTTCTTACGGCACATTCCCAGCAGGGCCCTGAGTTCTGTGCGGAAACCTTCGTTGAGCCAGCAGTACATGAAGGGGTTGTAGCAGGCGCTGCTCATGGCCATCCAATGGAAAGCAATGTAAAGGATATCGCTGTTATCGATGGCTTGGCTGGACATGAGGATCAAGTAGCAATTCAGGGGGAACCAGCAGAGACCAAACACCATCACGACTACCAGCAACATCTTCAGGGTCATTTTCTTTTTCTGCTGATGGGCATAGTACTGATCCACGGTCACATCGCCAATGGCGTTCCTCATCCAGACTTTCTTGGCCACCGATATGTAAGTGACGGAGATCACTGACAAAGGCAGAACATACAGAAGCACAAAAGTGGCCAAGTCCAAGTACTTCCAGTAGAGATCTGTCGGAGGAGGGAATCTGGAAAGGCACATCATCCGGGTGGTCCTATTTCTGGAACATGGAAGAAGAGAAAGCAAGTTTTAGTGGAAGAAGGTCCATTCCACTTGGAAGGTCCATTCCTGCACAAAGTGGAGGTGATTAAGTCTCCTTTGTATCTTCTCTCATTTTCTGTTTGAAAGAGGACGGACAATACTCTACCGCTCATCTTTCGTCAGCTCACCATTCAGACTAATCAGACAAGTCACTGAGAGTAACTTTAGGTGCAACTGCAAAAATATTGTTTTGTAAGGATTTTGGCCAAAATTATTTGGTGGAGGAAGTTAATAGAGACACATGCAATTTGTTAAAACAAGGATACTAGTACTTAGATGAAATTATTTTTTCAATTGTCAGTCATACCTTCTTTCAGTCAATGAGTCAAACAGTTAATTGTATTGCCTAATGTTTTAACATTTTTTTATTGATTGGATCTCAGCTTGGAATCTGTCAGGATAAAAGGAGAGCCATACATGTTTTTAGAGTATTTGGAAGAAATGCTTTTTGATCTTGCGCGAACACAGTAGGAGCCTGGGAGAAAAAGCTACTCTGAAAGAAACTTTTATGACTAAATTCCTTAAAGCAGGATCATCTTCTTTCAGGTTTGTGTAAAAGCTTGAAAAAAGGGGAGAGGCAATTGCGTTACCTCTTTAGAAATAGGGGATGGGCAATTGTGTTCACTTCCAAATTATTTTGAAATATACACTTACCAAATATGAAGCAATGAAGAGTGAATAGTAATGCAGGCTTTGCGTTTATTTTTCCACCATTTATATGTTAATTTTTAAAACATTATTGGGTTTAATTTTGACTATTAAACCCTTCAAGATGTTTTATGGAAAATTAAATATATACACATACTGTGTATGTGTTTGTGCCTTTGAGTCAGTCTTGACTCTTAGGAAACACCTGGACTCATCTCTGAAGTTTTCTTCGAAAGATTTTCACAAATGGTTTGCCCATGCCTTCTTCTTGGGGCTGAGAGAGAGTGACCAGCCAAGGTCACCCAGCTGGCTTCATGCCTAAAGCAGGACCAGAACTCAGGGTCTCCTGGTTTCTTGCCTGGTACTTAATCTCTACACCAAAGTGGCTCTCATCTACACATATAGTACATGCACACTAGGAAATACCAAACACAACACAGACTCATATGCATGACAGGCATGTCAGAAGGGTGTGTATCAAAATCTGCACAAAGGCTAGTGCAGTATCACAGCACAAGCCTCTCCCCTGTGGAACATGCAGGCACATTGCATACCAAAGGGAGAAGGTTTCGATCATGAATGAGATTTCGATCCCTCCCCAATCCTTGTGGCATTGCTCGATCATCATGTCTGATGTTCGGAGTGATGGAGGAGACGAGGCCTTTATTTTCCCCCTTGGCGATCTTGATCAACCTTACCCATAAGGCAGCCTCACAAGGTTCTGGTAGATGGCGTAGGGCAGAGAGAAGCAAGTGGCCATCAGCAGGATGATCAGGATGCGCAGCGCTCCGTTCACCAGAGACATTCGGGGCTTCAAGGGATGCATTATTACCTAAAAAGAGTCAGAGTTAATGCAAAATAGATTTGATCAACTATCACAGCAACAATTGGATTTATCACAACAACAGCATGATTTAGCACAGAAGCAGGATGATTATTGTGCGAATGTGGCAACTGCTTTTAAAGGCTTGGCGGATTATGTGGATGCAATAGCAGAAAGGGTGGAACAGAATGAGCAAAAAGCAGAAGGAAGTGATCATAGACTTGAG